TCAGCCCAGCAATGGACAAAGAGGTTCAGTGATCCGAGAGCGATTTCGGCTTGGTATCGTTTCTAGAACAGTGCTCGCTGCAACGCAGGGGACCGACGAGTCAGATTGTCGGGATGAGCCCAGAGCGTCGTAGCATCTTCATCCCACCAGGGGAGATAGGGGTTGTGTGGATCGTCTAATGTGAAGCTGACGAAACATTTGGGCTTTTAAACTACATACTAGAGAAAGCTTGGCCGAACGAAAGCACTAAAATTTCCCTTGTGTTTCTGCTGTCGTCACCTATAATCGGCATCGGGTCCGATTTATGGCCTTTTCGTCCTTCGCCAAAACCTTGCTAAACTAAACAGAGAGTGGGAGAGTTTTGACGCTGTTTATGCGTATTTGCGACTCTCGAGGGTGGGGACAGTAGTTGACATCGACCGAGTGACGGTCGATTGGCCCTCCACGCCTCCGTGCCGCCTAGGTCTACTTTACTCATCGATATTTTGTCTTCGTGATGGGCTTTGACAACCCGCTCTGCAGAGGTAACCATCAACATGAAGCTACATAGTGGCTGAGCGCTTGGCATTGTGTTGAAAAAGCAAAGAGTGATCAAATCGCACCTGGTAATTGTTTGCATCAAGTGACACAGCTCAAACGGGCAAGATAGTTGGGACTTATGAGGACCATACCCGGCCGATGTAACTATTAGGCTCAAATGCGACTGTAGTCTCCTCTGATCATCCAAAGACCTGCTGGCTCCCTTCCACCAATCAAGTTAATTGACATGGAGAACACGGCCGGCAGTGATACATTACGGCAAGCTGCAATGGTGGCCGTCAGACGGGTTTCTACAGAACTAAAAGACCGAGACCTTCTAGGCCTTTGAGTTACCAATTATTACATAAAATACTGCCCCCATGCAGTGACTGCAATTTTCGCAGCCAGCCGCCGAAAACCAGTATTTACTCGATCGGGTTACTCTCGGCTAAGTGTCGTGTTTATTGCTTGTATTGTTGGACTAGACTGAGCCCCCGGTCGCGGTTGCAAAGTCAAATCAAATCACTGCAAACATGCTTCCTTGTGTCGTATTGACAAACTCGCACGTAACACAGCCGCCATCTATCTGGGACCAACAACTAGCAAATACTGAATGTCCCTACAGCTAAGCACTCCATTCCGGGTCAATGCGACTTCGTGAAGGAGATGCTTCCACAGTCATCATGGAAAATGCGACTCCTCGATGTTTTTGCTCAGCAATCCCATCCAGCCTGGGAAACTTTCAAGTTGCATGCACTCTGGGGCGCAGCAGGCCCAGGGGTTGCGGGTATCTCGGCCTCAAAAATTCCACGCTACCGGACAATCGGCAAAGCTTAGAGTCTAAGAAGACCCCAATTCCGGTCGTATTGCTCAATTGATTGTTGAAGGACTTTTAGCAAGTTTCACGTCATATTTCCACTTGAGGGTTCTCAGGCCATAAGTTCACGCGACATGGATGATTTGCTGCCGACACCCGATTGATATTGAGTGAGACGAAAATGTCGAGCTCGACTTCATTTTGACCACTCATGGGTTTCTGAGATGACGAAATTTGATTAATTTATACCGCAAAGATTCCTCGCATGTTGTGTTTTTGCGTATGTTAGTGGTAAGTCACTCGGAGTATGAAGAACTCAACATGCAGGCGCTTAGAGAGTCAGTCTCTGAAACCAAATCAGCCGTTGTAAGCTTTTTCTGCATATAGACTTCGTAGGGACTCTAATCTAGCAAACGAACAGTCTTATATACTTGTTTCACCTGCCGAGTGGAAGTATGATACTGCTCGGAGTAGCTGCGCCATTCTTTGGATAAGTAAGGTAGGTCTATCAAGTCCAACTTGCAAAAGTACCTGGCTTGAGTGAAGCGAATTTACCTACAAATGAAATTTCTTCCCGCGTCTTAACTTTTATTAATCATGTATCCATGAAAGACGTAGGCTCTGCAATTTCCAGTTGTTTACGATTAGAAAGCTGTCGCAGCGCCGCATGCGGCGCTGCCCACTCCTGCCGTACGATACTGCCTACCGCGAGACGACTGCCCGTCTCGTACAGTATTGAGACACGACCCCTAATGGGTTGCGCACCTAGAGGAATACAGCCACTATCTGCTAAATTGTTTTCCACTTTAATCCTCGCTTTGTAGTAGAAATCCTTCATAGCGATGCCGACGCTGCAAGCGTGAATAGCACGGAAGACCTTGATGGACGGACGAAGTCGCAGCATCGAGTATTCAATTTTACAATCCGGTCATCCCTACCTTACAAGACCGATTGCCGTAACCTAGAGTGAAGCTTTCTTCAAGATACGTGATCATGTTCAAGACTTGCCCATGGGTGGCGGGCTTGACGTATTTGACATTGGCAGTAAATGTGTTGAACGTCAACAGGGCAGCTTTCACAGACGTCAGTCTTTATCCTCAAGCTACAATCGTTTTCAGGCGAGATCAGGTTCAATCTTATCTTACTATCTAAAAGTCGAGGAACAGGCGACAAACGCCACCAAATCACAACGTGCTAGGTCAATTATCCCGCGTCCTTTCGTAATTTTACGGAATGGTATCAAAAGAACAAAGGGACATAAGCAGGTCCAACAGGGTTTTGGTCTTTTTCTTAAAGAGCCAGCTGCCTTTGAATTGTGAAGTCGTCAGATGATTTGGAAGCCTATCAAAAAAGGAGTCTCAAATAGAAGAGCTGATATTATCGGACAAGACTCTATCCGGGTGTTTAATGACGGATTGTCAAAACGTGGTAGCGTTCGCATTGAGAATGTTTGTCGCAGGAACGACGCCATCAATTGTGAGCAGCAGATGATGCCTGATCTTTTACGAGAACATTCATTCATAGGGTGCTCATTTTCCTCCTAAATGCCTGGATGTCGTCAAAGCGGGCACAACCACGCAAAGCGTCCGCTCTACTTCTCAGAGTTGATGCAGCTGGGAAAGCCTGCGGGTTGCTTCGCTGAGCAACTGCATCGGGATCCCGGGGATCACTTTTTATTGGACACGAATGCTTCATAAACGATTTTGCCAGGGTTTCCGGGTCGACCTGCAGGCTGCGGTGTATCTTGAGGCGATCTTGGGCCTCACTTTATTGGCAATTGTCCTCAACGATCAATCCAGACTTGGAGAACAATCTGCGACTGAGCTAGTTGAGAATGCCAGAATAATCTCCTTTCATGAGCACAGCGAGTTCGAGCAAAGCCTCTGGTACCCCATCAATGCTCGATGGGAATCGAGTACTGCGATCTTTCAGTTTGAAGAGCAAGAGAAACTTGGCCTCTTGAATCTGTGGCTGAGTTCCTAAGACAATAAGAAATTTCCAACCTGGACCACTATGGAGAAGGAGAGGTCGAACGACATGAGTGGTCAAACAAGCTGTGCATTCAAGCCTAGACAAGTTTTTCGACTTTGGGGTGTTGGTCCACTTTCGTAGAACATCTCATGAAGGCAAACGCCCAGGATCGCCAAGTCGATGACATGTCAGCTAAAATCAAAATTCATTCGTACAAAAAGCTCACTCGTCGATATCTGCGCTCAAGAGCTTCTCACCTGTCTGCTTCTCGGGCTCAAGAATGCATTGATGAGAAGCCCTGTTCCAAACGAATTCAACAATGCCAAATCAATTATAAACCATGTCTATCGGAACTTGAGGATGGGAAGTTCTTTGGTCACGAAAGTGGTGGATATGTTCGTAGACACCGGTCTGGGAACACATACAGAGGCTTTGCTCTGCGTGGTTCCCGCGTTGAGGAGTCAATTCCCTACTGATACCCTTGAGCTCAAGGCTTTGGGTGTCCTTACATTGAACGGAAGTAGAAAATCAGGCGTGGAGCTCGAATTTGTAAGTGCGAGTATTGAGTCTCGTTGAAGACTCGTTTAATCGGTCCCTTCCCACGGCTCCTATATGATGGTCTACAATTACTTCAACCTACACAACAACATCGATCCCAACTGTTAATGTTCTCACGTTTGTACGAGCAACGCAAGTCTATTATAAGCAACAGAGCCGAGATCAAAACTATACTTAAAGACTACAACGAATTCCTCGACCAGCTCAAGATTTTGAACCAACAAGCCGTCATTCATGGAAAAGCCGTGCATTCTACCCTTGACGCTACCAAACCAGTAGTCTCTCTGGAGTCGAACAATCCGTATAGCGTATTGTGTTTTCTGGTGAAAGCAACCACAGCCGAGTTTGGGGCAGAAAAGAGCTTGCCATCTTCAAAGGAGATGTCTAATGCTTTGATAGTAGCTGCGAGGCAAGGTTTAGTCGGCGTGATTTGCATTCTAATGAATCTTGGCCTCGATCCGAACCAGGCTGGGGACGGAGCTAAATCAACTCTTGACGTCTGTCTCGAACATGGTCACGAAGTCTGCACACGAGTTCTGATCAGCTTTGGAGCTTCCGTACGCGTGCCCGGGGATCAGGGACTGGTTCTATTAAATGCGGCTATTCGGAGGAACCAAAAGGCGCAAGTCGACCTGTTAGAGATGTTGAACGTCCGACCTTATGACTACGTGACAGAATAGGGGAAGCCTGGCAATGTTGGAGAAATTCTGATCGACATTCATCCATCCTCTCAAAGCTTATCAAGCGTGGGTCCAACATCGGAGCCAGTCCAGCAACGATTTTCTCTGGAGAGTCCTATAATCCAGGCTGTTCTCTCGTCCACGAGAGTGGGTTTTTTGTTACTGTCTTGAGATGGAGGAGGAGGTCATCGCCATGTATGGGCATCATCTGATGCTTTGGACACTGCATAGCTGGAGAGGAATAGACTAGTCCACAGCCCGACGGTTGGTTCGAGCTGGTGTACGGCCTGACCAACCACTTGCGACCCCTTGTAGTAACACGGCACTTCGCCTTACTGTCAAATGGCCGGCTACCCTGGAAATCCTCATCTCGGACGACAATATACATCCCAATACTGAAGTGAAGAACGGTGCAGGCCATACGCCCTTATGTAAGGCTGTTTGCGAAGGCCAATATGAATCAACGACCTTGCTTCTGGAAAGAAGGGCTTCCCCGGAACTCATCGGCCGTGGACAGAGGCCCATGGACTATGCAATTCACAACAAGGATGGTGAGACTTCTTAGGGATCATGGTGCAAGCATCAAGTCTGTTGATAGCAGGTGCCAGTAAAGGGTGGTGAAAGCGACAAGCCCGGGGGAGGTGGAAAAGTTGTTGAGTTCAGGGAAGCAGAACAACAACCCGAGATGAGTCGGGAAGCTCATAGGAGTTGATCATCCCCAGACCGGGGTACCTGACGTATATTGACAGGGCATGGATGCAGTCGAGGAATATGGGAAAAGAAATTCTTAAGCTGAAGGGGCGTCCATGCCGGTGGACGGTGTTGTCATGATCTCAGGGATACTACTGGTGTAGGAAAGGGGTTTTCGGCGCCTTTATCATTGAAGCCACGGATGTAGGCGCTACATAAGTCGCTGGACCAAAGCCAAGTTGCTACTGGGGTCAAGCTGGCGGCTATGTAGGGGCGATGCCATGGGGTCTTGATACAATTGTCCTTCAGTTTCGTTTGAATCTCGGCCAGCAACAATCACGTACACGGAGAGTACGAGTCTGTATGCTTACCATTCTATTCGACCGCTCCTCAATTCTATCCTTGGTGAACCGTGAAGTAGTTCGCACCGCATGAAGATCGCATACTTAACTGAATACCTGGGCTATCTGTTGAAAATTCATTCATTGCGGAAAAGTGACCTTGACTATACCGATAAGTCTCAGCTTGCTCTCCCGCGGAACGCGATATGCTGTCATATCCTTGCCGCATGTAGCAGGCCGCAGTGTTGACAAAGACTCTCTATCAGAAGCAAGATTCCGGACCACACCTTCAGAATATCCACTTGAAGCTTAGAAGACGGAAGGCTCCATGTTACGGGCCGATTTCCTTTCCAGTCAAGATGGCAAACTAAATGAACGAATTAATGGACCACTGTGCTGCCATATCGTCATGATCTCACGGACGTCGTGCGTCCTTGTGGACGAGTCTCTATCGTTGAAACAATAGTCGCTGACGCGGATTCAATGGCTTGCTTTTTATTGATGAAGAGCGGCAAGCATCTGTTCCGATTTTTCCGACCAGTTCCTACCAGAGCTGTCCACAGCCTGTCAAATGCAAGCCGAAACAAAAGAGCCAGGCCAACGCGGCCGGGCGCCGTGGTGGAAGACCGAATGTGTCGTTGTCTGTTGTTCAGAGCGGGTCAGGGGTGAAGGCGCCAACGGGGGTCGCCAAGCTTTGTGTCAAGTAACGGGCAGAGTGTGCCCAGCCGGCCGCGAGCGAGAGATGGATTGAAATGCTGGACTGGTTGACTGGTGCTACCCAACACACTGGGCCCTCAGCCGGGCCAGGATGGGAGCGGCCAGGACGTTTGTGAATGGCAATGGTTTTCGTGGCCGGGGGAAGCCGAGGTACTCCGTAGGGTACCGATGACTCGTCCGTGCCGGTGGTCCGGTATCCCTGACCCACCCCCGTCGCAGATATATCGGTAAAGTGGCCGTCCCTTCCGCTTGGGTGTAGATACTCGAGTCATCATTCCAGCAGCCAATGGTTTACTTCACTTCGGACGGCCGAGATATTCGCGATGTTCTCGGGCAGTCTTTGGGCACCTTGCTAGGTAGATCAGCTTGTATTGGAAAGATTTGTCTTAAAAGAGTGTGATAATTCGCACTAGCCCAAACTGCGCCCTCAATATCCCAAAGAAAACATGCTTAAACGAAGGGGAGAGAAAATCAAATAGTCAAAAACGTAAATCACACAGCCTCCCGCGGCTAATAGAAACGAGTCTTGCCATACTTGTCAATATGAGGCCTCTCACCAGCAAGGCAAATAACCCAACCGTCCAACTGCTGCTCGGTGTCCATGCCATTAGGCCACTCGTTCTCCATCTCCTCTCTCTTCTTGGTCTTGGGCTTGCCATCCCTCACACGAAGCTTCTCAAAAAAGACGTAGGCCGCATAAAAGACACTGCTGGTGTTGCCAGACGCGGGTCCCTTCTTGTTCATGAAATTGGTGAGCAAGTTGGGAGCGACCTTGTGGTCCGATCTAGCGGGGTACGCGGCCTTGACGATGGCGCGTAGGAATGCTGCCTTTGTGACGCCTTCTTTTTGAAGGATGGCGCGGATCTTGGTGCGGACTATGTCGCAGGTGTCGAAGACGGGGACTTTCATCTCACCGTCACCCGGGAGCTGGATTTCAGAGAGGTCCGGGAGGGGATCCTTCTTGTCAGCAGCCTTCTTGGTTGCCTGCTTCTTAGGAGCTGGCGCAGCGGCGCCGGTGTCACCATCACCGTCGGCAGCGGCGTCCGACTTGCGCTTGCGGGACTTTGGCGCCGGCTTCTCGGCGGGCTGGACGTGTCACGGTGTCAGCTTCGGGAGCTGTGTCACGGCATTGGCGTCTGAAGGCGATAGAAAAGAGAATACTGGCATCCGACTCGTGACAGACGATAATCATGAGACGGCACAATGAGACACATATTCTTTCAAGAGTGTCGAGATATCTGCGCAATTGCGTACCTTTGCGGCCGTGTTTTGGCCCACGACGCGGTTCGCGTCAGCCTCACCCAACGGGCTGGGCGCAGCGGCAGTGGCTTTCTTGGGCGGCATTATCAAATGTTGCGAAATACGGAGACGGACACGGCTCCGGTGAAGTGGGCGGAAGAGGTCTCCGAGTCGGACGATGTTTGCTAGGTAAATGTAACAATTACGGCGCCTCTCTAAGTGTCTGAAGGAAGTGGTTCTATCCCTGTGTGGAAGCTTCTACCCAAAAAAGCTGCCTACGTAAGAGACGCGTCGAGTGGGACGGTGTCGGTAAGTGGCCGGCAGGGGCCCCCAAAAGTCACGGTAGGTGGGAGGGACGGGGCGTGGAGGGGGAAAGAGGATTGATGGAAGCATAACGTCATCGGATAAACAGCACGGGACGAGACATGGGAGCACGGAGATATTGATCCATTTGCACTTTAGACAGATTGGCAGGAAGAGGTGAGACAGGGAAGCACCTCCTTTTTCGATCCAATATCCGTCCCATCGGAGGAGAATTAGGAAAGAATTGCCAAAAGGCTCGAAAAGTTGGGAATGGGCAAGAAGCACGGGCCAGATCAAGCGAGGGTCTCGGAAGGCAGAAGCTGGCGATGCCGTGCAGGACACTTGGAAGGAACAATCAAAATAAATTGAACAGAGGAGAAAAGGAAGGAAGGAAGGTACATTTTTGGCCCATGGCTGCCAAGAATTGATGATGGGTGGATCCATTGAGGAGGGAAATCCACTGACCGAGATCCATGGATTCATCTAGCTCCACCCCTGTGGCGGTACGTACCCACGAGAACGTGGAGTGGAAGGAGGTGGAAGTGGAGGTTGCAGTTTCAGGCCGCGCGAATTTGGGTCTCCGGGAAGGCACATGGATGGCTATCATTGATTTCGACAAGCAACGATTTGTTTGCTGGCAGGAAGGAACTTCCTCCATCATCAATGGCTGTTTCTCAGAAGAGGCGCGGGTGAGATGAGCCCTGGTTGGGCCATCCGAACTTGCGCTCAGCGGCAGGAGCCCATGCGGTCATGCTTTCACGCAACTACGTACCCGGCGTGCCTGCTGCGTGCCCCTGGAGCCTCTGCGGACATGACGGACCACAAGAGGAGGAGCCCTGCAACACTATTGGTCACTCCTTCTCGTCGAGTTCGGAAGTCCCTTGGGATCCAGATGAGTCAGCAGTGGGAGTCCGAAGAAAAGTCGAGAATGGGAAAAAAGAGGGTTTTGGTCCAGGCACAGAGTTGCGGCTGCACCCTGCGGGAACCAGGAGGCGACGATCACCAAGAAATCAGACTCCTCTTCCGGCTGCACCCCTGACCAGACCGAGTTCATCGACCAGCAGCAATGAGCATGGCATGGCTGCATGGCCAGCATCACCCCTTGATGACACCACACGGAGTCCTGCGCTGCACTGCAGGCACACATCAAGAAGACAGAATTTTTACTCGCCTGAACCCCGTCGAGCACAGATCGAGACCTTTCACAAAGTTGCAAATAGATTGCTGTCCCGAAGCCCAACGACATGCGCTCACCACCTAGTGTAGAGTCCCAGACTCTCCCTGTCATCTAGACCTGCGCTGTCGAAACTTGGCGGCAGTTGACCCTTTCCTTTCCACTTGTTCATTTCGATTCTCGGCTTTTCCACCATTTTTATCGTCGAGATTCTCACCGCTCGCACAAGCGCCCACCGGCAGTTCCACTGGGCCCCGTGAAGTTCGAACCAGAAAGGCAATGGCTACGGGGGCAAATGGCCTGTCGCCCGTTATTGATACGAAGCTTGCATACAAATCCGTATCGAGGCTGATCAGCTCCCAAATCGAGCTTGAGGCCAGTCAGGCTCCACGACCAGATCCGCTGCTTCAAGAACAGATACCAGGGGGCTTGACGATATTCACAGTTCGGCTCCGTCGTCCAAGATTCCAAGTCGGAGTTCAAGTGGGAAGCCAGACATTGGATTGAGGACTCGAGATGAAAACCAAGCATCGCCAAGCCTGCCATGCTTGCTTGTTGTGAACAGCTGGATATGCTGGATCATCCATCAAGCAAGGCGTCAAGCCCTAAGAGTTACGGCCTGCATCCCTCCTCGCCTCATCACAGACGTGCCAACCCGTTTCCTCCACCGCTATCCACCCCAGTTTGCTTCTTTACCCGCTTCGACTCGTCATCCCTCCAGGGCTTCAATCTCCAAGTCTCCAGTCAATCGGGTATCGGCTCACACTGGAACTCGTCCAGACCTGACCTGCATGTGCCCAGTAAGCCAGCCAGCCGAGGGTCACTCGCTGTTGCCAGCCAAGCACTGCCCTGCTGCCAGTATCAGCGGCAGAAGCAAACTCGACAAGCCAGCACTGACCACCCACCTCCCCTTTCCAACGCTCAGACGAACTGCCATCCCGTCACCCTCAATCTCATTTCTTCTCCTCACTGCCACTTATGCTTACTGCAAGCTTGGCTTAACCTTTGCTAACTGACCCAATATGATGTGGGCGTAAGTGCGCTTCGGCTCACTGACTCCGAACTAACATGCTAATCCACGATTTAATGCCTCTGTCAATCCCAAGAAGGCTTGCCGGTCCCTAAGCTTAACCTTGGGTGGATCATTCACAGATCTTCACAGCAGATGCTACTATGATTTTCGATGTCGCTCATATGCCACCTTAGAACCAACAGACAGATCTTACCACTCTCGACAAGCGAGCAACAAGATGCCCGTCATAACTGCGCTGCTTTGGCGCCTCAGATCTGTTTACCGCGCCGCCAGCGGCCAACGTGCACTAGGTCACCTTGCTTCAACCCTGCACTACGGGATACAACAAGTCACCACCTTCATTTATGCTGAAACGGCTTGATCTCGCCATGGCTGCTCGGCATGGCCACCACCCCCGCTTGTTTCCCGCCTTTCCACCTATGGGCACGTTTCCAGCCGCGATGGCCTCGCTTCGGCTTCTGCTTGCGGTTCTAGATCCCGGGATAACAACGGGGGGTAGACGCCGGCCCCACGACCCCCTTCCTTTTCGATGCAGGGTGGGCGCCTCCTGCTTCAACGTCGAACCCCCCCCCCCCCCCCCCGCCTTACGATTCCACTCTGAGTACCTTGTTATCGAAGAAAGTTAATTCTTTCTAAGTCATAAGTATAAGAATATAGTTTTAATAAAATAGTATAGTACCTACCTAGTACTTAAATTAAGATATTTTTTTAAGCTTATTATAAGAGAAAGATAACTATATTACTAACTACTTACTATTAAGGTCCGTAAGTAGCGCTATGGCTTTAATCGCTATGGCTTTAACTATGATAGCTTCGCCCGTAATAAGCGAAAAGTCTAATTATAAGTCCCTTAAAAACCTCTTATTAAGAGCTATAAGAGCCTCCGAGTATACTAAGTTAAAATGCTTACTAAGATACTAATAATTAAACTAACCCTATAATAACGACCTTAATAAAATACTTAGTAAATAACGCTAGAATCCTTACTAACGTTAGGTACGATTTACGAAGTATAATAACGTAGCCGTAGAGTATTGCTAATATATCTTACGCTAAAAAGGGTATTATTAGTACTAACGAGATAAATAAGGCCGTATTAATATAGCGCCTTGGCTTCCTCTTATAGCTCGAGGATAATTACTTTAAATAGTATTAGAAATTTATTAAAAAGCTCTCTCGAGTACTCTAGTATATTTACCGCTATCTCCGTAATAATAAGACTCCCGGCGCCCACGTATAAGAGTAAGTTACTTACCTCTAAATAGTAATACTAGCCTACTAATAAGCTATCGAAATTACGATTCTAGCGATCCCTTAACGAGGGAGAGGGTAGAATAGAGGAAAGGATAGGTAACTTATTTAAAAAGGGTTAAGGTTAAATAGTGCGGAATTCGAGGGCAGGGTAGCGTCTATATATACTGCGGCAATCCTCTAGTAATACAAAACGATGGAGTTAAACAGTGTACGATTCCACTCGATCACATTCACAACCCATTCGCAATCAACTTATGCCTGGCCAACGCAGCCTGGACACCGCCCGGCCATGGATTTGCACAGGGACTCCATGGACATGACCCCTGGCTCTGCTCCGTGAGGGACGGAGACGGGGCCGCAGTGGTCCTAGCATGGCTTACATGGGATGAGAATCGATACTGTCTCCTGATGGGCGTGGTCGAAATTGCTTGCATCCACGCAACGCAGGTATGCGCCACGACCCACGACCATGAGCGCTACTCTGGGCTATCTCGAGATATAAGGTCCTCTTCTCTTCGTTCACATCGTCTGCTCCTACTCTTTTTCTCCTCATCCAACAGGCTCATTCCCGCAGCTTTCCATTCCCACACTCTTTTCCGCTTTTCAGCACATTTCTTTCATTTGAACACTTCATTGATTGAAGTTCACTATCTTTACGACTTGAAGTCAATATCCACTCTTTCCACGAACGAAAACTACATCCAACAACACCAAACTCAACACTTTTGGAAAATCTGCAAAAATGCCTTCCTTCAAGAACTCCGCTGTCTTTTCCGCCATTGCCGGCGCCGCCTCTGTCATGGCCCACGGTCACGTCAACTACTTCACCGATGGCTCTGAGCAGTTCGCCGGTTACGACGTCACCTCGCTCCCTTACATGAGCAGCCCCCCTGACGTGTAAGTGGGACACCATGTGATTCAAAGCAACTTTGACATTGACAATATTGTAGCTACGGCTGGAAGAACACCGCCACTGACAACGGCTTCGTCGACCCCTCCTCCTACGCCGCTGCCGACATCATCTGCCACAAGAACTCCGAGAACGCCAAGCTCACCGCAAAGGTCGCCGCTGGTGACAAGCTCCAGATCTTCTGGAACACCTGGCCCGAGTCCCACAAGGGTCCCGTTATCGACTACCTCGCCTCTTGCGGCACTGACTGCTCTACCGTCGACAAGACCTCCCTCGAGTTCTTCAAGATCGCTGAGGCCGGTCTCGTTGACGCCTCTGCCAACAAGTGGGCTTCCGATGAGCTCATTGCTGCCAACAACTCCTGGGCTGTCACCATCCCCACTTCCCTGAAGCCCGGCAACTACGTTCTCCGTCACGAGATCATTGCCCTTCACTCCGCCGGCCAGGAGAACGGTGCTCAGAACTACCCCCAGTGCCTCAACATTGAGGTTACCGGTTCCGGCTCCGACCTCCCCGCTGGTACCAAGGGTGAGGCCCTCTACAAGGCCGACGACGCTGGTATCCTCATCTCCATCTACAACTCCCTGACCAGCTACTCTATCCCCGGCCCTGCCCTTCCCTCCGTCTTCGGTGGCTCCGGCTCCGGCTCCGGCTCCGGCTCTGCTTCCTCCGCCGCTCCCGCCGCCACCACCACTGCTGCCGCCGCTTCTTCCACCGCCCCCGCCGTCACCTCTGCTGCCGCTGCCACCACCACCGCTGCTGCTGAGGCCGTCGCTACCTCCGCCCCTGCCTCCAGCTCCGTCTCTGCCCAGCAGCCTGCCGCCACTGGCAAGCCTTCCTGCGCCGAGAAGCGCAAGCGTAGCCTGGCCCGCCGCATGGCCCGCCAGCACGCCCGTGACGTCGTCCGCCGCGTTTAAATTTCTCGTCTCAACTGAGAGCGAGAGGCGAGGACTCACTTCGAGCCAACCCCGAGCCGCTTTGGCGAAAGAGGGTAGCTCAACCCACTAGGCTCATGAAGACATGATTGCTTTGTTGGACTTTTTCACTTGTATATACTATAACGACACTTGTTGGTTTTCGTGTACAACACCGACGTGGATCTTGGACAAAAAGACTTCTACCTTTACTACCTAGCTACGTACGGCCGTGCCGGAGTATACTAGACGAATGGAAAGGGCGGACTAGAATGGTCCTGCTTATACACTTCACTTAATCATTACTCGCCTATGTGACTGAATTTGTTCTGTGCTTGAATCGCGATGAAGAGTTCCTAATGTCAGTGTTGGGATTGCGATTCGACTCATTCCTGAATGCAGTTTAATTCGCCTTAATTATATTACTAATCACCCCAGAAGACATGGACAAGCCCGAGAGGCGAGTAATCAGCCCGGCAGATCTGTGGGGCTTTCTCTCAGGAATGGAGAGGGATACCTCTTCTGGCAGCTCGGTGCCTGTTCCCTCGTCATATAGAGCATCGAGGATCCTGTATCAGGTGAACACTATGTTGGAAACGATGACTGTTTTTCTCAATCCATGTCTCGTCCGAACTTTGTTTCCCTTACCGTTCCCTTTCGGGTTCCCCCCTTGGGGCTGGAACGTGCTGGACTGATGGTCTGTGGGCGCCGGGTCACCCGAAGACTTGATGAAGGAGTTTGCGAGTCGGTGATTTATGAGATTTGGGAGGTTTGATATTTTCTCCTGATTGGAACACATTTCGCCGGGTTGTTGAGTGTTGGGTAATTGTATCTCATGCATATATAACCACTCCGTCCTGTTCGGGTTGAGCCTTGAGGGATCTTTCCACCCATATTAGTCTCATTACCAAGCTAACGTTGTAAGGCATCTTGGTGCTTACGATCCAATGTTGTCGCAGCGCCACCTATGGCGCTGCCTATTACTGCCGTACGATACCGCTGAATTACCTACTGCGGGACAACAACCCGTCCCGTATGATATAGATGTTGCTACCTCTTACGTATCCCCACTGAGAAGAATCAAGTGATTTCCTACACTGCATTCTACTTAATTTCTCTTTTTGTGTTAGTTGTACTGCAGGGTCTTTCAAGTAAAAAAACGTATCAAAACCCTACGAAAAAGATCATGCTTCACAATGCAGGCCATGCAGCATGCTCTCATGAGTGAGCGGGCAGCGCGGTCTTCTTTCTCAATAATCATGTGGACATAGTGGACTACTTGAGAACATCAAGCCCATACATTCTGTGCCGGAGAGCCTTTGGTATCGATTTATCGATCAACAAAGTATTCAATTTGAATCCTTTCTAAGTGAAGGTGACAACAAGCAGATTCTCATATCTGGGCCCGAGCTTGCGTTGGGCGTCTCGTTGCGCCTCTGGATGGGATACTTTGGCAGAGTAGAAAGATTGGTAGACGACAGCACTTATAGGGATTTCTCACTCAAAGGATGCTCATCAGATGATCTACACTTCGCCTCTCATGGACCTTTTGAATCTACCATACCAGGGCTCCTGACTGGTTGAAGAGTGATAGAATTCCAGGCAGCACTTTACTCGAGCAACATAAACGACCAGGCAGCGCTGACAGCCAGAGTAACCTCCAACACTAAGATCAGCCAAGTAATTGAAGGGCCAAGGTGAAGTTTGATTGCGGTGAGTGGAGCGCTGGTTGCGTGCCTCGAATTCTCGATCTCTTGAGATAGGTCCATGTTGTAGACGCCTGACACATCTCCAACGAACTTCACGACAGGAGAGTTGGTTGTAGTGGGCTTCTGGGATTTTGGTAGAATTATGGATGATATACAAAGCTACTCATAAGAGGTCGGATTTATAAACATAGCCACAACATTCTTTCATGCGCCGCATCGCTCTCCTGCAGGTCTTAATAGGTAATGTGGCGTAGGTAGGTAGGATAATAATGCCTGACAACAGTCCGACCTGCAGTCGCTATTGGCTGCTTTGAAAGATTTCGCTTATCGCCCGGCATGAAGATGTTGCATGGTTTTTAATCATCGGTATTGCTCAAACAAACTTCATCTTAGCCCGATCATTGCCGACTGGTCGACTCACCACAAGCACGGCAGACTTTGATAGACTTTTGACCCCATATTCCTGTCTACGTCGCACATTAGTGACATGATTTTGAGCCTCATAGGATCCTCAAGTTCGATTGCAATACAAGTGCGAGTGTGAGACTTGAGCCCAGTGAGTCTTGCCAGTCCTAGTCCCGCCAAGGGAGGCAGTAAGCTGCTTGCCTACCCCGGCCTCACACAGAAAGTCACGGCTCGCTTAGAAATGAGGACAGCTCAAGTGCCGAGTTTGTAATTCCTAAAGAAGGATCGGTCTCGACGCCGAAACGAGATCTGCCATGCCGCGACAGAACGAAGGCTCGCCCGCGCCAAGATAAGCCCTAAGGCAGTCGCGAGATGAGATGTGTAAATTCGTCGATTAATCGCTCACGCGTTGCTTGATACCGCATCGCCGGCATTTCAAACGATTAGAAGCTGAAGAGTCAAAGCAATGAAGTCATCATGAGACCCGGTAATAAGGCAATGAGCGACACAAATGCTAGACCCGGACCGCCTCGCGAGACGTAGTGAAGATTCCCCGCAAAAGATTGAAGTAGGTAGATGCACGTTGTGCGACAGACTTTCTGTATCGAGACAAGAAACGTCAGTTCCAGCATCTTGGGACGCGGCATCTTATCAGTCGAACGGCAGAAAATCTGACTAGGAAGCGTCATCTTCAGCGGTAATGCCAGTTTTGGCGAAGCGTGGGGAGTTGGGATGGGAGAAAGGAGGGAGAGGGCTTACTGCTTGAGAGGGAGGAGATAAGGACTTGAAGAGCTGCCGTTGCATTCTTTCTTATCTCTTGGCGGGTCCTCCCCTCGCCCCGGCACACTCCCGTGCCTCCGAAGCCCCCTTCCCTTTTTCTCCACCCCGCGGCCTTATCTTTTGACGTTCTACGACCACTTACCGGGCAGAGATGCTCGATTGCAGTACACGCCAGGGCAGCAAACCAGGAATCGACCAATGAGACTCGAGGGAGGAATTATTCAATGGCATTGACTAACACTACTTTTGGGGGGAAGGTGCTCGATGGCAGGGGGTTTGTTATGGTGCCTTGATGCTGCTGCAAGACTTGTGCCCATCCAAAAGCTTGTCTCACAGAGTCCTGGCTTGATTTCTGCAGTGGAATATGGTGCAGACAAGGCTACAAGGATGCGGACAGTCGATTGATCATTGACTTCTATAGATAGGGGAGGGTGGTGGTGCAGGGTTTTTGATATACATATGCGCAGGTCCATCCCATTATCGCGTCGATGAAAGAATGCTCTGAATCACCGTGGTTCTGGAGGTTGTTTTTGTCTTTCTAACGATACCCCTAGTGTTTTTCATTGTTCTAATAACCTTCAATTCCAAGCCACTTGGATCATTTGCTTGCGCCACAACATCGAGCCATTACGAAAGACTACAAGTCTGCAACTCACAATGGCCGACTCGGTGAAAGAAAAGGAGAAGATTGGCTCATCGCCGCGACCTGAGGAGAACGGCATCGGGAAGACGACACAGGAGGTCACATTGACCAAAGATGGCTTCAGCGTACATCCTCAGCCCGTCGCGGGCGACGCCATGGATCCCCTCAACTGGTCCCCCTTCCAGAAGAACACAATTCTCGCCATCGTGATGGCATTGTATGTCTAGTCTCACACAGCTCCGCGGCGAATATTGAGACTGACTTGGTTCAAACACAGATACTTCATGTTCACCTACATCACGACTACAACGGTCCCCTCTTTCCCCGAGCTACAGGAGCAATACTCCCTCACTCTCGAAATGGTCAATTGGACCGTCGCCATCCCAGCTCTCGGCCTCGCCATCGGCCCCTTAATATGGTCCTCCCCCGCGGACATCATCGGCCGTCGGCCTATCTTCATCGCAGGCACCGTCATCGCCTTCGCCGCGACCATTGGCGCCGCAAAGGCCCCTTCGTACGGGGGTTACATGGCGGCTCGCCTCTTCCAGGGGCTTGGCGTCAGTCCCGCCGCGACGGTCGGCCTGGCCATCATCAATGACATGTTCTTCGAGCACGAGCGCGGACAAAAGGTCGGCCTTTGGGTTCTGGCCATCGATTTGGGTCTCCTTGCAGGTCCGCTGATTGGTGGGTTCGTGGATTTGATCGACCACTACTGGATCCAGTGGATGACGGCCATCTTCTTCGCTGTCATCCTCGTCGCGGAGCTTGCTTTCTTGCCCGAGACCCTGTATCCGAGGGACTATATGCTTTCCAAGACCAAAGGCATCGTGTCTGGCGCCACAGACGGCTCCATAGACGAGAAGGCTGTGGGACCGACGGCAGCGCCAGAGGCAGTGAATGTTACGAGGACCAAGAAGTTGGGATTCTTGAATGTGAAGCCCGTGCCGGCGATGAAGCATCCCAAGCCGTGGGCGTCGATTGTGCGCTTCGGGAAGTTGTTCAAGTTCTCTGTGGTGCCCATCGCAACGGGGGTGTACTGCTTCGGGTGGTATTGGTGGGTGCTGTCGGTCATCACGATGATTCCCGTGGCCTACATTGATTATTCGCCGCAAGTCCAGGGGTAGGTGACATAGATTGAAGATTTCCTAAACCGGGAGATGGAAGCTAACAACAGATGTTACAGACTCTTCTTCATCGGGCTGATTGTCGGAACTCTGATCTCGGAAATTTTCTTCTCCGGACAGCTAAGCGACTGGCTTGTGATAAAGCTCGCAAAGCGCAATGGAGGCGTCAAAACAGCCGAGATGCGTCTGTGGCTGGCTTATCCCGCGGCTCTTCTCACCTCCATCGGCCTCATCATCTGGGGTGTGAGTATCGACAAGGCATACCACTGGATGGTGGGCCAGGTGGCCTTTGCTCTTTGTATGTTGAACCAACTACCTTTCTCAAAAAGCGAAAGCCTAAAAAGTATATACTGACCTTGCTATCCAATTACAGTCGGCGCGGGAATTCAAATGGGCAACACGGCCATCTGCTCGTACATTGTCGACGCGTACCCGCTTCAGAGCATGGCTGTGATTACCTTTTACGCGGTGCTCCTCAACTTCAGCGCCTTCATCGATCCCTTCTTCATCGCGCCTTGGGTGACGAATGTGGGCTACACTTGGACGTTTGCAGGACACGGTATCATTACCATCTTTTTCTGCATACCGGCGCTGGGTCTATTGCATAGGTTTGGAGGCGCACTTAGAGCAAAGGCCGGAGAGCCGGATTGGGTTAACCCCGAGTATGATCATGATATTGTGCGGGAAGCTTGATTGCAGACTGTAGGCTTTCTGTAGAAATGCATCAATGAAGCTTTTTGGGGATCGAATACGCGTATTCACTGAATTTACCGCTGTTTTGCCTGTAACGGAAGTAGAAGTGCCGAGAACGAGAGTATGATGTTAGCTTTCCAATCTCTACGGTACACACTATGAACTTTTCCGTTGACAAAGTCTAAACTATTTCACTTGGCTAGATCTCGAACTAAATTTTTCATAAGCACTCCGCATGCATCTATAGCAGTCACGGGCGAGTGGGACTTGGCGTCGTCTTGTTTTACCACACGTGTTGACCAAGTGGTATTGCTAGTTTGTCATTGTTTTCTCAATCGCGCTACATCAAGACAGCCATATTTCCACTAACCGGAGGTGGTATTCTAACTTTGTGCGGATCTCCTGCCCCATGGTCCCCATTGCATTCACCAAACAGTCCGAATCCAAATAGGCAGACTCATCGGCCGGATCTTTCTGTGTTTCGCCACCTATCCCATTGAGTATCCGCCCAAGTCTCCGAAGTCGGCCCTTGAGCAATTCGTAAATACACAGGTTTGGGATCTCGCCGTGTCCGCCGTTTCCGCCGCTTAGACCTGAGTCGCCGACCTGCGGCGCACTTTTGGTTGGTTGCTCGTATGGCGGTGATGCGCTGCCGGGAGCAGCTCCGCGGAGGAGAACCTTGCCTAAGCTATCGACGACCCAGTCGATGACGGGACATAGCATCATCATGAAGTGAGATGAGCGCGGCTTACAATCCTGGCAGTGTCGGATAGTTTCTTCAGTCTGGTGTATGGAGCTCTCAATGTCGAGAAGTATGCCGAGCGGCACTTGTGAGTCCATCTCACTTGAAAGTTGCGTGTGGTGGTACACTGACTCCTGCAATTGGCAGACGAGAGAGAAGCAGTTGCATTCCTTGGTCATTGTGGAATGAGATGTGTGCTCAGGGACGCTCATTGGAATAGATAGTTGCTGGTGTGTCTCGCTCCCTTGGCTCACATCAGGTGTTGATACTGGGCTTAACTTTGTTTGTTCGGTTCTTGGAGTGTGATTTGAATACGACATTCCAAGTTCCGGTAGTGAGTCCGGCGTTGAGATGCCCATGTACTGGTGCATTGACTGAGAAGGTGATGATTGTTCCATTGAGAAGCATGATGAAGTGAACGTGGGGCTAGGCATTTCCAGAGCGAGGAGGTCTTCCATGGGAAAGTTTGTGTCGTAAAGGGGGCTGTTGATGTCGATACTGTAAGGTAGCAACCAGTCAAGATCTTGAGGTGCAGGTAAGCATCCCGGACGGTTGTTCCAGTCAGATGGCACGCCGTCAAAATAGTCGAGAAGCTTCGCCTCCATGTTTTCGCCAGTTGACGGGGTCGAAGTTCTGCTGTCAGAAAAATCGGTTACCGACGTGTCTGCCATGCAGTCGATGCTGCCGATACGACTGCTGATGCTGCTGCTGCTAATGCTGCCGAAAGAAGCATCACTCGGGCTGGGCGTGCACGGGAGGAAGTCCATTCTGTTGTGGTCTGCTGGGTGTTCCCACATTGGGGCGACGGCGTTATGTCTTTTATTTGGAACTTTGGGTGGCCGGCCAGCTTTCCGTACCCGGCTGTAGACGCAATCTCGCCCACGGCGGAGACAGCGATGACATGCCGGCTTTGACTGATCGCATTTCAACTTTGATCGAGTACAGAAATCACAAGAGTTTCGTAGCCTCCGGGTGTTGACGTCGATACGATGCGCCGAGTTTGGGGCTGTGTTCATGTTTGTCATGATTGCGTTGATATGGAGTGGTGTTTGTCCGAAATGCCAAGTCAATGTGAGTTGAGTCTTCAAGAGTTCAGCTGGGTAAGTCAGACCGGTAAACGTAGAGCCAAGACAATTGGTGGCGGGGCTACTAGTTTTTGAGTACGGCGGGACAGGTGTCAATTGGTTCTCGGGTCGACTCAGGTCAGTACACTAGCGCGTCTCCTCCTTGTGCCTACGGAAACTTTAACGGTCTTTCAAACAGGATTAGAGTTGATAAACGCGACTAGAATGCCAGGTAGCTCTCAGTGGTGGGTAAACGTCCCGGCTGCCCAGCATGGAGCGCAACTCTGCTGATATAGGGTAAGGCTGTGGGTCACATTGGTGGGCAAGAGACAACTGCTAGTTGGAAAGCCTGAAAACGTGATTCAGATAAGAGGATTCAGGGCGTAGTAGCAATAGGAGCAGCTGGAGCCTAGGCCGGCGTCTCGAGGGATGTATGAGAGTATGTGACAGTGTGTGTGCCTCGGTGCGTGTAAACAAACCGAAAGACCGGGAAACCTGGATAGGTACCTTTGGTACGAGCTATCCACGATTAGGGTAGGCAGGCTAGAAGCAGGGCCATCTGTGGGGTGGTGGTGGTGTGCAGGACGGCCGCCAACGATCGACGGCCTGCTTCTGGTGTCGAGCAGAAATTCGAGGTAATGGGCCCAGGTGGAAGAACATTCGCGTGTTCCACGGTAACCTTCTGAACCGTAGGTAGTCTACATCGTATCGTCCAGTGTTCCTCCACGGGCCAGAGCAGTACGCGCGGCCGAGTCATTTCCGTCTCCCTAGGGCTGAGAAAGCTGTGTAGATGTCGATGAGGGCCAGAGGGACTTTTGCGGTTGCCGATTTGCATGGTACCGAGGTCTTGGTTCGCCGACACTTGTGACAAGGAGAACACTGAGAGGATTGTACACATAGTTCTTCCTGCTAGAGATGATGGATGCGATTAAGTTTGTGGGGGGGTATGTGGTAGCTGATGCCGGCAGGCAGAGTTATGCTAGTTTGTCGCCGGGGATCCAAACTGCTCGATGTCGCGAATACCATGAACCTTCCGCGCGGAAGTTTTATCCACAAAAAGTCGCCTAGCAGTGGTAGACTGTGACTTGCTCGGGAATCTTCTGCCCATAGCTTCTCTGCATTGTTTCACGGCACTGGCGGGGCAGAGAATGCTCGATGTGCTTTTGCCAAGATGGTCCGAGCTGTCCCCGATAAAGTTGGGAGAGTTGGCCTGCATGCAGGTATGTTACTGGAAATGACGGGCAGAATACGTGGCAGATGATTGTTCGGCACTCACACATAAAGATCCTGCTTCACACAACTACAATTCAACTCTTTAGTCTTCGTTTCCGCGCGGGAACTGTTGCAAACACTTGCCTACGACGACGTCTGAACTCAGAGAGTCTCACAGAACCCAAATATCTCTCAGTGTGAGTGCGCAAGTGGGCCAATGCGAGCCGATACCGAGCCGATTGCTGCTGCCGGCCGGAGTCTGCAGGAAACCCGGTACGACGGAACTTTAAGTGGTCCTCAATATTTCCTAATCGGGTCTACGTTCGAAGTCGTCCGTACCTCAGCCGCCAGCCTTAGATGGCCTCAAATGTGATCGGGTCCCCTCCCGTCGGGCTGCATTGGACGAAGCTCGAGCAAGCGTATACAAAGGTTGCCCATCTTCACATTGCCAATCACTTGGCAACAGTTGCTCAAAAGTGAAAATTCATCAGGCAAGTCATCCGAAATGATGGTGGCAAACCCAGATCTCGTCTCTCTTTCATAGTGAGCCAATCAATTCCCAGTAGCACCATCGTGGAGGGAGATCTCATACACTTAGGTCGCGGCACTGCATGCGAACGGTTGCCGCTACGGCAGAGAAAGGAGTGGTTGACACTTATGCAGGAATCAGTCAAGCGTCACGGCTTGCACTTATCGTGAAAGCGTCAACGACGCATCGATTATGTGTGTAAAGTAATCAACACCGACTCTGGGAACCGATCAAAACACCTCACACACGCTACGGTAGCTTGAACATTCACACAACTTCACGAGAAAAAAGAGCAACACTTGAAGTCCACGAAGCTTCCGTGCGGGCTGTTGTTTGGATGCAATGCTAATTGCCCACGGGCCGTAGTTGGGCGTGATGGGAAGAGCTTCTGCTCTCGACACTTGCCTTGTTTGGACTACCTTATTATGGCTGCACAGATATGTTGATCGTCATGGTCTGTGGGCTGATATCTTGAGCCCCATCGATGTATCCCATTGAATCATGAACGATGTTTTACTATCGTGGTAGATTATTTGAGATGAAGTAGGAAGCGTATGGAATCTAGACTGTACACATGAGAGTCAGGCAAGCACACACATTGTGTAAATTGCTCGTTTAATTCGCGTCTAGTCATTCTAGAAGCCGTACAGAAGATCAATGTCGAGCGGTGTCTGAACTTAGTACACACGCAGGGCATAGAGTTTTCTTACTTAAGCAGACCAGCCCGGAGTAATTCTCGCTGTTTAAGCCCTACGGCGAGTCAGACTTTCGAAACCCTTTACTCTTCGACGGCCCCAAAACATAGGATGGCACACTATTGAGCAGAACATCTACCTATACTGCCGATGGCGAGTTGTGCGACAACAATAACAACCACTTGCAAGTTGGCCCCCCAACGCCCAAAGTTTGAACTTTGCCCGTGTTCGTCTCTTGCTGCAGACCCGAAACCGTGGATTGCCATGTGCAGCACTGCGCATTTTTTCTCCCCTTTCAGATAGTAAGGCGATTCTCATGATGTACACCACGCCCCATGCCCAACGGAATCTTCGAAGGGCCAGCCACACAATGCACTTCGTAACTTTCCGACCTTTCTCTCAGGGAGCCATCTGGTTGGTGGAGACTTCCGGTGTTCTACCTACAATCTGTTCCCCATGGCACCGGATGCACCAACCATCCGTCCCCGGAAAGCGACTTGGCCACCATCTCGGCTCGGAGTATTCCAGGCGGCGTACGCGTGGTTATGGGTTTCTCCGCCGTCGCCCGCTCACCCCTCATCTCGGCACGGACCTTCAGAAGTATGTCTTTAGGTCCTGCGTAGGCGGGCGCCAAAGATAGCGCCCGCTTACGGTATTCACTCTCCTCCGCTACGGCAGATGAATTAAGAATAGATAGCCGACTATCTTTACACGGACATGATGACTATGCATGTAGGGTACGGCCACTCCAACGAGTACGATTGGTGGCATTGTAAAACCCCTATAATCTCAGCGTACTTCATTCAGCACCGGCTAAGGTTTGGAAGTGGAAAGCAACGCAATGGATATGTGTTCTCCCCCACCCCCGGATTGCCTCGAACGATTACCTTGAAGCGGACAAGTAATGGCAGAAATCGGACGCCAAGAACCTGCACGCAATTCTGTCAATTTCAAGGCCACAGGCGGATTTCGTCCCTTATGGCGAAGCTCTCTATCCAAGACATGATTAGACACTAAAAGGACTGGTTAAAGATGCTTTGGATGTAGGCGAACGCAGTTCGAACGCATTCTAACTTGAGTACTATGCTTTATTCCGCAGAGTGGCCAATGTTGTGTACAATCCCTAGCATTCCTAGGCCTTGAAGCATAGCTTATACGGATACTTACCGGCGCCTTTGAAAGCCATACTCTCTGAACCATGGAGGCGCGTGCCATTTCTTAATACGTCACCTTTTAACCGCCGCTAAATAAGACCTGGTAATGTAGAGAGCCATACGACAGCCGCCATTATCTCATTGCCAAACAGAGCCGCGGCTCATGGTTGGCACCGCTTTACCCTTGTTAGGGCCTGGGCGTTGCCCGATCTCAACTCATCGGCACTTCTCCAAACCTACGACGTATGGCGTCAAATTGACTGAAATTCTCGTTGAAGAGATATTAGATGTTACAAGAGCAAGTCACCGTGAGAGTCGGGCATTCACCCAACCCCGGAACTTAATCGAGATTTGAAGTTCGTCGCGATCTCACTTGGCCCGGGGATGACAGGTGGATACCGGGAAGCTTAATGGAGTTCCCGATGTCGTGATGAGGGACTATGCGTAATTGCCTACTTAGGTAATGAGACGGTGAGGTGCAAGGGTTGGCATGCGCGTTGACATTGCTCTGCAACACATCTTCGCAAGAAGATTGCTGTGACTGGTCCTATCACAAAAAAGAGGGTTTGGGTTGACACTTGAACGGAAGGTGTCTTGCTCTTAGCCCGTAGTACAGGTAGCGTTGCCCGCTTTCGTTGCTAATTTTTAGCAACGATTGCCTCAGTTGGACGCCTGTCTTTGCTTCGACGGCGTCTCGTTTGGATTCATAGGAATGAACATCTATAAGACAGAAACGATGCTTTTAGGGCATAATACTTAAAACCTTAATGTCAGGTAACCATATACAGCAGACAAGGGTATGTCAGAGCTGTTATTGAGTCATTCCCACTCATGTATCTTGCTCGAGGACTAGACAAGACTTCCAAATCGTGGTGTTCTTACGGGAGTTGAACAGGAACCGATATTGATTGAACAGTAATTGTCTTAGCTAAAAACGACTTTAGTTTGAATGCTACGGGTTGGAGTTTCAATGAACGACACCTTGATTATTTTCTCACTTACCGTAGCCATCGCCTGCAAACTTCAGTGAGCAAGAGATTGGTAACCAATGGGCGGCTAGGCCTGCTTTTTAAGCCTTCTAGAACTATGCAGATACAATTCATTGATCTCCAGCGAAGAAAAAAAGCCAGACATATCTCTCATTTCCATCTATGTGCGTGTGCTGACACGAAGTCATGTCTTGACCCCTGCGTGAATGGACGTAGCGATCAAATGGAAAGAGCCGTGCCACATCCCGTAGATCTCCCCGCATTCTCCACGCTGTCCCGCGCAGCGGTTTCCCGCCACTAGCGGGTTTGCTTTGACGGGACTGGCGGACATTGTTTCTTGCCCACTCGTTCCTGGCGGAATTCGGAATTGAAAATGGGTTACATAACACTGCTCCTGGAACCATTTTTCTTCCCTTGGATGATGGAAATAGGATTTTCTGCTCATGCATTTGTCAGAGAGCTTCTTTGTGAATAGCATCCAGCTTTGCGAATCGACATGAGGTCCCGCTGGAACTCAAAGGTCTCTTCACTAAGGGTTCTGCACGCAGCACCATCCGAAAATAACAACTTTCGACCTGCAAACAATAAATAAAAGACCAAAACTCGCTTCGAGGACCCATATTCGGTCAAAACTTTTCGTTTCAAATCGGCGACACATGACTTGATCGCTGTTGTCGGCTGAAATTTGAGCTATCGATGCAGATTTTGGAGTTCAAACGGCGGCCGCAGTACACATGTTCACCAAGAGGCTTGCGACAATCATGTGTGTGGCAGGGGAACTGAACCAAAAAGAGACTGGCTGAGTTTTGGTACCATTCTATGACAGAGTGTGGAACGAAACAAAGAAGCAAAGAACTATGCTCAAGAACGGGGAGAGTTCTGAGGCCCGAGAATATTCGTACGTGCAGAAAGTCCGTCAGTCGTTTACGACGAGGTATCAAGGAAGGAAACAAACGAATGCAGGTCAACATTGATAAGTGCCGGCGATGGTGTAGTTTGGTTGAATAATTCCCTTCAGCATGAAGTTGAAAATCATCCATGAGCACAACCTAATGTTCTTGGCTTTAGGAACAGTTGGGAAATTATTGAACAGAGGAGTAAGATGAAGATTGAGGCAAATTCCTTTCGCCAGGTTAGTTGAACTATCTGTTGGTATCTTGAAGATTGGTTGACTGATGTGTGCAGTAGTCAGGTCAGCTCCGAAATCAGCGGTCTATCCGACCAACCTTGTTTATCAATACACGATTCGGGAAACGGACGACGGGATGGCATAGGAACGATTTCAGGCCTCAATCCTTTTATCCACCAATATTCTTTCACCGACAGAGTTTGGAATTGCGTTGTGAGAGGCAGTGGCACGGGGCCACCAGACTTGGAACCATGAGCGCTTTCACATGGAACGTCTACCCAGAGAAACGCAGATCGAGCGCGTGGCTATATGCAAAGGAACAGGACACATTTAGTGATAGGGTTATCGGCCGGAGGATGCTTCCAGACATCCGTCGCTTTCAAAGGAGTCAGGCAAACACGACGGCTTCCCAGGGGCTTCTTCGCGTGGCAAGTAGGTTGCGGGAGCTCCCGTCTGGGGAAGACTCAGAAGGAAATCGGCCCTTCGGAAACGACGGAGACTTCCCATCCAGTGTCTTTACCCCAAATAAGGCGAGACATCGAAACACTCCGCCAAAAATGGATCCTCTTCGCGTCGAGATTCAGCTGGCTACTGCACACAAACTCCCGATAAAGTGTTGGCAGGCAGGAACGATCGGCGGACATTTCGGACAACCAGAATAACCAGGATAATTTCAGGGCTCGGAGCAAACACCCTACTACCGAGATGAAGGCAGGCTTTGAAAAAGGCCCCCTCATTTCGACTATGCCGCTGTGGACTAAGGTTGCGAGCGGGGTTGATTGGACGAGAAACACGACCAAGTTTGGAAGTGTTGCACTCACTGAGACCGTTTCCATCAACATCAACCAACGAACCACGGGTCCTCGAGCCGGAGAGTTATGCAGGTGCGGTATTGGAGGCATGGAGAGAGTCACATTGAACCGAATTGTTCCCCTTTCAGGTTCAGGAGAATGGGGAAATTGAAGAGCAAGAACGAAACCAGGAGACCTCCAAGAGGTGGCCAGAAAACCATCGGCTCGTCGCTCCGCAATCCCACGAACGGTCCACTACCAGGCTAGCTCAACTGGGTTAGTCTTGGGATTAGGAAGGCCCAGACGGACGTTTGTGATGCGGAGAAGCCCCATATATGCGGGGCTATAATCCTAGCCGAACCACTGAGGGTCTGGGAAATCATTGTGGGAAAGCGGGGAAGGTGGGGCCTTCCCGGCCCAGTCGCTGCAGCTGTGGCTCGGGGGAAGGAGACGCTTGGAAGGAAGCAGGTGGCAGGTGACTTGCCGTTTTTTGATTTGATCGCCTCATGCCGAACGTCGACGTTCCTTTTTGCGCAGCTTCCTGTCAGATCAGGCGAGAGAACGACACCATCGGACGATAGAGCTCGCGACAGGGCACTGGACATCAAATATCGACTGCGGTCCACGTAGAGTTCGGGTTCTACAGACGGAGAGCCGACACCTCAGATCCAGCCATGAGATATTCAACAGCGTGCTCGGCGTGTCGGTAAGTCAGTCTGCGAATCTCTGCCCTTTGACCCTGGCCGGCGTCTCCCCTGACCCCTTCGTTCATCGACTTCGAGGCGCATCAGTGGCATCACTACTGACAGCATAACAGCGCACGGCGGAGGAAATGCGAGGTTCCTATCGGTGGCGGGCAGTGCACTTACTGTGCGGCCCAGAACATTGCCTGCTCGAGGGCTGGTACCATAATTCAGCCCAAGGCGGCTCCCATCAGCCCCATATCCATCACAACACCAAAGACGCCGACAGTCACCGAGATCATCCTTTCCAGCCCGCCAGGCATCACTCCTTCAGCTGCTGTTGCAGACAAGGCGCTCTGCTTCGAGCTTGTGGAGTTGTACTTCAAGTACATCCACGATCAGCTTCACTCCCTCTTCCACAGGCCCAGCTTTATGCTGGATCTACACGAGGGAACCGCCCCTCTGGTACTTGTCTACGGAATGATGGCATTGTCAGCGCGATTTTCGTCGAATTCCATATTCAACGGGATCTCACCTATGTCGCGAGGCGAGCTTTTTGCCAATGAGGGAAATCTACTACTCAACTTGCGCGACGTTTCACTTACCACGGCACAAGCATGCGTGTTGCTGGGCGCGTACTCCATCGTAGAGGGCGAAGCTGGAGCAGAAACCATCTTCTATTCGGCGGCTTGCAGGATAGCCAACTATCTCGATCTACCCAACCTGCCAACCCCAGATCCGCTCCAGAGAGAGATCCACATCAGAGGTAGAAAATCCGCCTTATGAAGCATGCCACGGTATTGATACTGACCGTTTGAAGTGTATTGGTCTCTTTGTATGATCGACGTGTGGTCATCCACTGGTGTCAATCTACCACGCCTCATGGACCGTCGAATGGATGTCCCGTTGCCCATGAACGAGTCAACTTTTCTCAACATGACCCGGGCAAACAACAACCACTTTGACTTCATTCTCTCACCAAATCGTGAAGACTCACTGATCGCACAAATGATCAAGCTGAACAGCATTCTGATGAGGGTCAATGACGCCATCAAGAGTCTCACATCTGACGTTGACGTGACCAATATCGACGAGACTGTGTCTCAACTGTCGCAAGAGCTGGAAGCTTGGGAGGTGGCCCTACCCCATAATCTTCGCGATACCCCAAGTAACCTCCATGCCTTCGCCTCTCAAGGCCTTGGGCGGATCTTCATTGCCGTGCACACTGGCCACTATCACTACAGTCAACTACTGTACTACCAGTACCTAGATGAAGTTCAGCGCTTCCCTACTTCACCAACAGCACAGATGTTCGCGCGCAAATGCAAGGAGAACGCTATCTCCATGTCACGTATCATCGATCTCGCAAACACAACACCTGGCTGTGACGCCAAATTCAACATGCTCGGACACATCATTGTCATCACATCTTCAATCTTTATCCACACTCTGCTGTTCGAGACAGACGAAGCTGAGATTGCAAATGCCCGTGCTACGCTAGAGCGTCATTTCAATACCCTCGTCGCTTTGCGGGCGTACTGGCCAGCACTGGAGGTGTGCTTCGCACGGCTCAAGACGTTCCATGAGCTATGTCGCAAGAGTATGAACACCAGCTATCGCATGGATCGGTGGATGTTACGGTTTTTGACTGAGTTTGCGCGACCAATAGACGAGAAGGAGCGTGACGAGGATGGCCACATGGACTTAGATCGCTGGAGTGTGGGTAACATCGGCATCAGTCCCGAGAACTGGGCATAGCAGTGCAAGGGCTCGGACGCATAAGCTTCAAAGCACGTCCTTATCGGCTGGGCATCCGAGAGCATGTCGAAACGAAGCAAATGCAGCAACAGATTCAGGAAGTCCACCCCCACGTCGCAGTGGTTGAGCGGCAATGCGTTGTAACAACCTACCAGCATGTTGACGATGAAAGACACTGATTAGTTATGCGTGCTCGGCTGGGGTACGAGCCGAAGTTACATCGTCAGAGACATCGATCTCGCAGAGAGCGGGTACAGAAACCGTCTGAACCGAAGCCAATCCGGCCCTTCCTGGTGCCAACAACAATAGCCCAGTCTAGCCAGATGTATGGTTAAGGGGGCGGGAGGGCCCGAATTGTGCCTCGATCCTAATCAATCGAAAGATACCCAATCACAAGATTGATTAAACGACGAGTCAAGCGGTCCAAAAGGAGGTGGGCAGGGTCTTGTGATGATCCAATATGCAAGGTTTAACGGAAAGTAATGTGGGATGATTTGTGTCATCCAAAGGGTGAATAACACGCTATCAGACTTTGATGTTTTCTCGGAAGAACATGCCGTGGGGTACACAATGGGGTGTGCACGTGGGATCGAACATTTCTACAGTTCTACAATGGTAAACAGATCGCCGAGGGCCGAGAAACTTTGGGTTAGCTGCAAAGATGTATGATTTGATCCCGAAAATGTCTACTTCCATGCGAGCAGTACTTGGCACGCCCTCGACACGGATACCAACTCGAGTTGCCGAGTCGAGGGCTACCGGTGGGCATCTCAATCCACCCTCATTCTCAACTTTTTACTGCTATCCTTTCACTTGACTTCCTCTGGTGCATGCTGCCTATCACCAGCATCCTCCTCATCAACGACCTTGGCCGCGTTGATCTGTACCTCGGATCTCGGATAATCTCCAAAGTGCCTCACCGGCACGCCGTCGTGAAACATGCGATCAATCTCCTCCAGACTCCTCCCCTTACACTCTGGTACACAGAAAAAGACAAACAACGCCGAGCAGACGGCGATGCTGCCAAAGATGAAGCCGACTTTGCTCTGTAGCGCGGCGTAGGGTGCGTTGAGGAGATAGGGCAGGGTGAAGTTAACGAGGAAGTTCATGAAGATGTTGACGAGAGAGGAGACGCGCTGAGAACGGTCGCGGAGGCGGAGTGCTGGGACTTCGGTTACCACTACGTAGGTTAGGGGACCCCATCCTAGACCGAAGCCGGCGCCGACTGTGGGGAGGGTTAGTAGACTGTGAATGTACTCATCGTCGGTTTTGGATTTGAATCATTCTTACATAGAAGGAGCATGCCGACCATGCCTGACTTATTGGCGTTGGGTACAGGCCTTGGTACGCCGAGGCCGGCCATCGTGTATAGTGCAACTGTCTGAACCGCAGCACCAACAAGTAGAATTTTGCTTGCAAAGAATGTTAGTATCACATCAAGCATCAGTGAAGAGTAAGCTCTCCTACCGTCGCCCAACCCGATCCGTCAAGAACAAACACGTAATAATCAACCCCGTCGTCAGCGCCGACGACCCCAGCGTGACATCGAACGGGTTTAAAGTGCCAAGCGACTTTACCCAGACGGCACCGTACTGCGATGCGAACGCCTGGCCCGTTGCCTGCTGGAAGAAGGACATGCCGACGGCGATGGCGGTGCGTTTGCGGTTCACGCCCTGGAAGAGCTCCTTTGTACGGCCTTGCTCGGGTTCATCAAGGAGGGATTGTTGGATCTTTGCGAACTCGTTGGAGATGTCGTTCTCGGACATGGTTCCTTCGCGGAGGAGGTGGTGGGCTTTTCTGGCTTCTTCGACGCGGTCTCGGAGGAGGAGCCAGCGGGGAGACTAATGAAGGAGTTAGGAGGTTAAGATAGCCAAGATGAAGGATGGGAAGCTTCGGGTAAGTCTACCTCTGGAATGAACCAGATTAAAGCTAGTACAATTGATGGGATAACGTAGAAGAGGCCGAAGGGGATTCTATAGGCTCGACTGTCTTGGAAGCTCGATGTTCCTCGGCAGATGGAGTTGATGACAAGGCCACCAAGCTATACTCTGGGGATCAGCAACTGCTAAACGGAATAGGGGGTCGTGTCATGGAGGTGTGCGTACGCCAATGGAGAGTTGGTATGTTCCAACGACCATTCCTCGAACTGGAGCGGGGACGATTTCTGACTGATATACGGGAACCACAGCCAGTTCGAATCCAACGTAGACATCTGTAACCTGTCAATGAGTGGTCCGCAGCTAGGGTTACGTTTCCTCATACAGTTCAGGATTCTGCCTACAAGAATTTGTTCCTTCGTCGTGGATGTGACCACGACCGTGGCACTAATCAGGGCGTATACGCTCATAACGATCATAGTCGTGCGACGACCGAAGCGTGCACTAGTCAGACTTCCAATCACAAGGCCTGAGATACCATGTTAGTGGCCATCATCATCCACTTGCCCTCGAGCACCCGAGCTGTAAGTCTCCAGGGTATCAACGTACCGGCAGCAAAGCCAATGTAATTCAGACTATTCAGCAACGACAAGAAGTATGTCGGAATCTTCCACTGCCTTGTCGCGTCGTCGTACTCGCCAAACTGCCTTTCAAAGGCGTCCATGGCCTGTGTCGAGGTGAAGGCCTGATTGTCGAAGCCATAGTTGAACTGCGACACGGCAATGAGGAACACGGAGGCAAAGAGCCTCTTGTTGAAGTGCTGTGTCACCGATTGGATGCCCATGATAGATGATGATTATCGAATGAGCTCGAATTGATCCAGGGATTCGACGTCGTTCATCGTAGTTTCGAAGTCGGGGTGGGAGGGAGTTGAGTTATATGGCGGTTATATTTTCGAGCCTTTGCTGCACTAACAAGCATCTGTGGTATGTCGCCATGTCACGACGCTAATAGTAAACCGAAGCCAGGGACGTGGGATTCGTGATTAGTGCTTCGTGGTGGAGACTTTGGAAGCATAGAAAGTCCGGAGAAAGCGAGTTGCAAACTGCTTGCAGGTGGTTCGTGACAGCGGATCTCGGCGGATGCGGTGTTGGTAGGGGTCAGATGTTCCGCGAGGTGGTGCGAGCGAGATCCGGCGATATGCGGTGGAGACCCACTCGTTCTTCTATACATCATCTTGGCCCCGTCTTGCGTGCTTGGGCTGGCCAGCTTGAGGCTAGCTCAGTAAGTAGGTCTTAACTTCTGAGTTCCGGGAAAGTGTTACTGTTCCGGCTGCATTTCTCCGTCGTTGGATATGTCTCATAGCATCTACTATATAGGTCTAGTCCGAAAAGTACAATTGTCTTCAAATTACAACTTAGGTTGCTATTTTCATGCCTGCGCTTTCTCAGACGTTGGCGGGATCCGGATCCATGTATCCCGACAAAAACCAACTCAGCTCACCACTCATATCGAACTGCGAAGGGGCTACAAAGTAATCTGGTGCCAGCTGGTTTTCTGCAAAACCGGACCATGTAAGCGGCCCATCCAGACTGGAGCCAATGTCATTGAGACCAGCCGCACTGGCTAGAGAGGCCGGGTAGATATCGACAGAGTCCGTCATCGGCATGTCCGTCGTTTCTGAAGTCTGGAGGATCGAAGGCGTTTGAGGAGGGTCGGAGTGCTGTAGCGCGACTTCGTCCGCAGTCTTGGCGTTGTTGTCGAAGCTCTGAGACAACGGATGATATCTGCTCAGCAAGTTGTTCCGCTGGACTTCGCTGCTAACTGGCGCGAGCTCCTGTGCCTCTGCGTCGTTTTGTCTTCTGTTTTTATCGGCTTCGACCATCTTTTCGACGTCTTGCTGTAGTACCGCGATGATGGGCACGATCTTGGCCATGTCGTCCAGCAAGGTGATGTTGCTCTGGCACAGAGCCTCCACTGCCTCGTCATTGAGCTCCGCCGTCTCGCCGGTGATCGGGTCGATAAGGCAATCATACAGCTTGCACCGTCGCGCCGTGAGGAGAGTTTTGGTACACTGATGGACCATGCTACCGTACCCCAGACGGAGGGGGATACGCGTCTGCTTTGACTGCAGGGCACCCTTGGCTCGAAGGTTTTGGAGATGCTCCCACAGTCTCGCTTGACGTAGAGCGTGGGATACCGCAAGTGCGCGCCACTCCGAGACAAAGTCTGGCGGGGCGCTCGCGAGGAATTTCGGCGATGCGCTCTCTCTGTACGCAGCTGGGAGTGCGACGCGGAAGAGGTCGCAGGCGCACTGGAGGTACCACGAGTTGAGAGTGAGGTAAGATGAGAACTCTGATGTGGTTGAATGGGAGAACATGTTGAGCTCACTCAGTTGTAGGTGTTTTGGTGTATTTTTGAGGAAGAATCGTAAACGGTCACGTAGGTCTTTCATGGTTGTGACTGCTTTGGAGACCGCTGCTGGAGAGTGGTCTGAGTGACTATCCATGACGATTCTCTTTGTTAACCTGTGGGCGTCAGTAAAAACTTTGCCATTGAAGAAAGGAAGGTTTCCAAATGCCTACCGCAGTATCTCACAGCGAAGCGGCAATAGCATGATCAAGTAGGCATTAGGCCCAGCTTCATGAGATGCAAGTGCCTCCACACCGTCACTTAGCCTGCCCGTTGGCTTCATCAGCCCATGACAGAAAGCATGCTCCGAGTTCGGTAACGAAGTCCTCATCCACCGATCTGGCAACGAGGTGAACTCATCCAGACCCGCCGAGAGCATCTTATCCATACTCCACACATGCCACACCAGTCGCCGCTCACACTCACGCTTGATGAGCGCGGCGGTGGTATCATTCTCAGCGGCTGGTCTCTCGTCGTTGAGTTGGAATGAGACTGCTAACCTCGCGGCCATGCTGATGAGCAGCCACATCTTGCCGAACTGCCTGTAGGCGAAGTTTTGAAACATGGAGAGGATTAGAAGCTGGATGTTGAGCACCTTGAAGACATTGAGGTTGCCGAAAATGTAGGCGTCTACTTCTTTAGCCCACTGGACGGATAGGACTCGCGACTCGCGCGAGCGGGAGACGAACATTGCTGCAGTCGCGCATATCGATGTGCAAAGAATGGGCGGTAGCTTTCCGGCATAAAATTCTTCCATTACGGATGGCCGGTGAAAGAAATCATGGCCTATTGGATAGACGTGGTCAAAGTACGCCTCGAGATGCTGACGGATCACGTCTGTACTGAGGAGAGCGTGGTCTAGGGCAGTATTCAGAGATACCCTACCGACGCCGTACCGTTGGTTCAGTGAAGACTCTGCCTCATAGGAGGCGCTCTGGCTGAGAGTGCTGCTTGATTCTGGAGAAGCAGACTGTTGCTGTTGTCCGCTGACATGTCTGCTCTTACGCCTTGATGCCGATGATGGATATACACATGATAGGTTCCTCCGATTGCAATGGAAGCATTGCGGGCGATGACCGGAGCACTTCGCCTTTTGAACACGGCACTCCGTACATGCGGCCGCGATGCGCCGCCGTTTGGTCCCGGCTTCCGTCAGCGCGTCTGTCGGGGCTGAAAGCCCTTGTGGATTCGGGACTTCTGGTGACAGGTAGATTTCCGAGTAGTTGAATGTACAGTCAAGTCTTAGTCGACGACAGTTCTCACATGGTTCAGGACCCCCAGTGCATTTGACCTGACCATTGTCAGTATGCTTGCCCATCATGTGCAGAGGCGGGAACGGGAGGGCCACAATGCGGATGCTTCAATTACCTTTCGGCGCTTACATGTCAAGCACCGGGGTCTAGATATCGGTGCCCGCTCAGGTTCGGCGACCGGACTGGGGCTCGGCATGGTGTCTCGGTCTCCTCCGTTTGACAGGGCGTAGGTTTGAAGAGAAACTCAACCGCCGCGGGGCTCTTGCATCAAAACTTCGTTGTCGAGACTCAACGGCGGACCGGGATGCGGAACCCGGAAGAGACCGAGGATAATATGCCCCGGAAACCCCAGTTTTCCCACCGAAATACACTGACGTGCTCAGCATGCGGGGTCGCTCTAAGCCTGTTTGAACGCAACACAGCCCACAACGCATGGGATTCAGCGAATCCGAGGGCGCGAGGGGGCCCGAAGGGGCAGAGCACATCATTGCATTGAAGGATTGCGGAAGAGTTGCTCGACGCAATTGGGCAGTTATTCTAAGCACTGGTGTGAGAGATGGTAATGTCTAAGAATGCCGTGCGATTGTCCTCTGTAGTCAGGTAGGTTTACAACATTGAACACTCTGTTACTACATGCAACGTGTTTTCCCACGCTGTGTTCGATTTCAAGTTGGTGGGCAGGTGGCATGGAAGGACCATGGTCAGCATTCTCCGAGTCATTCGCTCGCGTTTGAGTCGTGGAAAGGCTAACATTGACCGAGTGCGGGTATAACTCATTGCCTGCATTTGCTCTCTGATAATGACATCTCCTCAGAAAAGTTTGTAGCAGAAAACAACAAAGCCAAGCTGGTCGTGGCGTCGCCTCGAAAAACTAACACAGGATGGAGCATCCTTGCATCGACCTCATCTCAAAATCGGAAGACCCATTATCTGGTTTAAATCTCGAGCCTAACTACTGCGATAGATCTCACTCTACGATCTCCTTTGGACAGTCTTTTCCCCCATGATACCACAGAATGAAGACTCAAGCTAGAAACAAATATTCGTCCTGGTAGAAACTTGAGTTGAGATCAAAGTAGGAACGAATAGTATCAAGACTCGTGAGTTATCACACTGACCGGCACTCTGGCAGGCCACCAGGCGGGAAGGAGCAACTGATTGAAAATTGAGAGATTCTATTACTACCTCGCTACTTCTTCAGATCACAAATTCTACACGTCGACCCGGTTCTACTGAGGCCGGGTCTAGAGACTCGAGAGAGAGTTTGAATATGTTGTGCTCAAGGGTCAAATCAAGTGGTGCCAGCTGGTCTGGTAACTAGGGAAGGTGGTTGCACATGAGACCAAGTTCCAGATCACCTACAAGTGATAGTGATTTCGCTTTTTCTCTCATTCTTCGAGTTGACTGAGTTGCCAAGGCTCCGTGCCGGAAGCGGACTGGGTCTGGGTCGGAGCCGACCCGAAGCCTCCGGGTGGAGCTTGCTTCGGGGCATGCAAATTTTGTCGTCCCCATCCCACCAATACCACCAATTTTTCACATTCGAAATTTAATCTCTACCATCCTCAGTCTTTCCATCAACCAGCCAAATTCAGACTTGTCTGCCCGGCTAGCTCAATCGGTAGAGCGTGAGACTCTTAATCTCAAGGTTGTGGGTTCGACCCGTAAGCATATTCAAACCATCGTACACGATACCGACAAATAACTAACTCCCACCAGCCACGTCGGGCTCAATTCCCGTCAGCGATTGACGCATATCTTTTTGTATATTTCGCGCCTTGTGATATCAACTTCTGTATCGGAGATTCACATCACCTTTTTGCTTGCTGCCTGACTTGCCTCCTTCTCCTGAGGTGGACTGACATCGTATGGCTACCTTGGTTGACAATGACCATGGTGTTTCTATTTGGTCTGGTATGGGAGTCACTCTCAAGAAGGCAAAGAACTATCTTGACTGCGTTCTTCAGAAGGTCGTCAAAACCAAAAGAGTAAGTTTTCTTCGGGCGTCAACAAATACATCAAGAACATCACACGATAGCTCGGTGTGGGCTACGTTCATTTAAGCTACCTGAAATATCAAGGGCTCAAGATGGGTTCACTCTCCACAAGCACCCAAGCATCCGGAACAACTTCAGGCAACTTCGTTTTGACGCTAAGAATCAAGCCCTCGAAGGTATTCAAGGCTTATCAGGAATGTACTGCACAAATCTGCACCTTCAGCCAGTGTTGAGAATACCGGGGAAACTTTCTCTTTGAACATTTGCGTGCACACAACTCTGGTCTTGGGAGCGAAACGCCCGCTGTTCTTTTTCTCAAGCCACCTGTTGGCCCAATCTACCCATGTGATAATCTCAACCGCCCGCTGAAACGCACCTCAGTTGCCAGATGTAGATTGGTCATCACCCATCACAACTTGGCAGGGTGAACTTTGAAGATATAAGGACTGCTTTGCTCCTAGATGAAGAGATGTTAAAGAGAACATACATCTTTGGAAAATCAAAATGCAGTGTACCGAGAGTTTCGACACGCTCCTAAAAAACGCTGAGTTGTTCTGCGGATGCATCGTGACTAAGGCAATCATGCACATGGTACGTGTATACGATATCGGTTGTTGCCGATTTCCAGATTTTGGACTAAGCAGCAATGAAGGTACTGGACTAATACCGATAAAGCCCCTTAATGTGCAGGAAGTCTTAAATGTGAAGGCATCGACTGGAATACTGACTCCTCATCATAGTAATTAAACTTGAAATCAGCTATAGTTATTCCGCTATTACCTTTATAAACTTATAACTACTAAGATATGTAATATGAATACATTATTATATCTTTTTTCAATTGTTTATCAATTTTGGAGTTAGAGCTTGTGTATAAATTTGACTATAATTCCTCGTCAGCGTCGGCGCACGCATCGTCAATCACCGTTGTTGCAAATTCGGCATCCGTCGCTGCGGCCGTCATTCTCAGTCCGCAACCCGAACTCCTTAGTCTCGTGATCACAAGAGACTTGATCTCCTTATCTCTCAGATGTTCCAGTAAGCTAGGAGATTTGAGTGCCGAGAAGTGCCCGAGAATAGTGTAGAACGCGAGCTCAGAGTCTGCGTCATCGCACAATTCAAAAGGCTCGGGACATTTCGAAGCCTTGAGAATTTCCAAGAGGTCTTGAAAGCTCTCTACGCCTTTGCAGGCGGGAAGGGTGTGCCGTGGGTGTGCCATGGGTGTCGATGAGGCAGTGCATGACGGCGATGCCTTGCAGCTTGGCCCATTTGCGGAATTGGATTGCGATGTCTAGGGCAGCGCCAGCGCCTGAACCAGCGCGACTCTCGACAAAGAGAGAGTACCAATCGAGGAGAAGAAGGGCAGTCTCTGAAGGCCCATAGGCGTTTGGAGAAGAAGGGTTAACGGTGGTAATTGGCATGGTAAGTTCGAAATGGGTCGTTTTGTATTCAATACGACACGTGTTCTGCATAGGTCTTACTTGTTGGAAGAATGAGATTCTTCGATTTTGTATCTGTAGGAGACCTAGCCCGTCTCTTGAGGCTTTAGCTGAGTTTCCGGGCCGATGGTTAACCAGGCTCTGGTGCCCTTCATCTCATTGCGCCGCTGGGTCCGAGCACATCTCGAGGATATCCTTGACCTGCTGGGCATGAAGAAGTGGAATTGCATTGGCATGGCAGAACCCATCAGCGAGACTGTTGCGCGCCAAGATCTCCCACTGTTTCCTGCTCACTCCTACCGACTCGAGACTCTTAGGCATATTGAGCTCGTCAAAGATGGCCCGGAGCATATCGCCTGCGTCGACTTCGCCCTGAGCCAGCCCGTGCTTGTTCAATACTTGAGCGACTTCGGGCTCCGACCACAGCTTATCCACTATGATTGTTTGGCGCTGCGAATTGACCGATGCGTTGTACTTCATGACCGATGGAAGAAGAATACAGGACGTCTGGCCGTGACCAACACCCAGTGGCCCAAGGTTATGGCCGATACCATGTGAAGCGCCACATGGTACATGCACCGCCAGACCCGTCATCGCTTTGTTGCAGCCCAGTTGACCATCAAGCCGTGCGGCCATGTCATTCGGCTCCTTGACATGTCGAAGCAGCGACTTTGTCAATAGACCAAGCCCCTCCAAGCATGCCTCATCCGACTCGGGTTTTGGACGGGAGGAGCATATGTTCTCAACGCAGTGGTCGATGGCCCTGACTCCAGTGCTGCGCCAGACCCAGTCAGGCGTCGAACGGCACAGCTCTGGGTCTAGAATGACAAGTTTGGCAAACATACCAGGGTGAGTAAATTGGACTTTCATATGGTTCGCAGGATTTGTGCAGCCGGCAAACTTGGAGTATTCTGCGCCTGACAACGTCGTTGGTATGAAGACCAGTGGGATCGTCGGCGCGTTCCCCAAAGAGGCACCCTCACCTCGAGCAATGGCTCCAAGGTCGGGTTTCAAATAAGAGGCTTCGAGGCGAACGAGATCCTCCACGCTTTCAATGCCATTAGCTAAGGCATAGGTAAGCATTTTGGCCCCATCTGCTAAGCTGCCACCACCGAGGGTGACGATACAATCGGCTGCCGTCTTCCTGATATCTTGTAAGATTGGGATCAAGGCATCGTATGGCGTGTGTGCTGGCATTCCCATCCATGTCCCTGCATGATGATCCTGAAGAGAAGCTTCCAGCTTTTCGAGACTGTCCGAATGGGAAGCTAACCCTTTGGACGCCAAGATATAGATATGTCGGCAACCGAAAGTGCCGGTTATGTGCTTTACGCTAGCTCTCTCGAATGGTAAGCCGTAAGAGACCACTAGAGATTATCTGTTTAGTTATACTGTTCTTCTACGATCTTGCAACGGATTGTGAAAATACTTATTGGGGGGCGTTCCATGGCGGGGATAGCTGGGAACGCCGGTCGAAAGACCTCATCGTTAGATATGACACTCATTCTGAGTAATTTGATGCGCGAGCGTGTCTTTGGTCGAAAGCCTGCAGTTTCAGTTCAAAAGAAATAGCAGGTCATGCCTCCTGAACTTATACCAGCCGTCTAAGCTGCTTGATTATTGTATCAATACTTCTCAACGTGTTCGGCACCGATTCGGTACCGAAACAGGATCGGCTTGTAGGTACTGATTTCTGTAAATGGATCGACAAAAAGGTTAATTGGGCTGAGGTGCGCCAGGCATCCACGCAGACCTTAGCTTGAGGCTAAGACGTAATGTCGTTCGTACCTGTATTTGGCTGGCGTTTTTATTGGTTGCGACAGGGCACAAGTGGAAGGAGTGTCTGAAAAACGTAACTTGAACACACTGTTGGGCATCCGTGTTTTCATCGAAACGACACTTATTGACCCTTTATTGCTCTCTCTACTTGACTCAAGGCATCATCCGAAAGCTCACGGATGCGTAGTATCTCTCGACTTGTTTCCCATCAAACTCTCGATGACCAATGGCAGATATGAGACCCTTGGCAGCGGCTGAAGCGTTGTTTACGACTCTCTGGCTGATCAAGTCACAATGGGACTAGTGGATTTAGGGACCAGCAGCCTTTCCTCCGCCCGTACCTACTTTCCGCGTGGAGAATGGCTCGATCTAGTTTTGATCTCCTACGCTTTATTACTACAGTTTGTTTCTTGCCATTCCTACGCTGAGCGAGTTCGGCCTTTGTTGGATAAATTTACTGAGTATGGCACTGTGAGAGCTTGTGGACTCTACCATCGATGGTAAAAGCGGTAATGTACGATAGTCACGATGTAGGGTGGCGATCAGGTCCTCAATCAACTCAATACCGTCAATTTTGTGGAAGTTACAGTCACGTGCATCAATTCTATCAATTCAATTTCCACCTCGCTTTGATTGCTTCAATTTACTTGGATGCCCTTAACGATGATCACTGGTTGAAACTGTCGGTACTGGCGTCTCAACTGTCGTCACGCCCAATGGACCCCACTACACACTACAGCACACCCCGCGCTTCACCGATCAACTTGAAAGTTTTGCCAGACCATTGAATATTCCCTCGAGATTCAGCGTCTTCAACTCAACGCCATAAATTCAATCTGGGGATGTAGTGGCTCAAATCCACAAGCCAAACGCTGAGTAAGTCAACTCAACGCCAGGCGAAGTCGGAATTGATGAAACTGAATTGATCGCCAACCTGTGTTACGATGCGACGAGATGACCTTGGGAACTATCTAACTGGGCAATGAATGTGGGGTATCGCAGAGTAGATGATGTTTGGGCCCAAGAATGTACCATGGGGAGCTGGTGGATTGATAGTTGACGACAAAGATACCCACGAGATGCCAAGGTCTATTTGTTGAAAGAATGAAGCAATTCAAAAGATAAAGGTGGATTTCTCGCCATTCTGGGAGTGGGCGATCGAGAGGGAAGCAAAAGTTTGGATCTACACACCACCACGCATACCAAAGGCAGCAAGGTAACGAGCTTTCCAGCCAGCAGCAAAGCTTATAACTACTGAACGAGACGATCGGATGACCTAGAGAGCTTTCATGACCAGCTTTAGACTACGTTCATTCTCGTGTGATACCTCGCATCCCGGTCATATGTCAGGGCAGGCGTGGACGTCGGTGGTCCTGAGATGCTCTGTTAATTGAAGGCAAAGGTTCCATGAAGCTATTCGTGTCACTTGGGGTCGTAATCAAGTGTCAAATGCCTAGCCGTCACCAACAATTCTCAACCCGTATTCCCAAGGCGGAGGCCGGGGGCTGACAGCCAAAGTCTTTAACTGCCACCATCGTCATGACCCACGAGAACTGTTGTCCAATAAAGCCGATATCATTGACTAGGGCTTATGAAGAAACATCTGGACTTCTCCTCCTAGCTTTGGAAATCACTAAGGCCTAGATTCTCTGCGTATTTGCCTACGGCTGAAAGGCGCCGGGCTGTGGGCAACACTGGCGTGGTATGTTGGTCGCCAGCTGAACCCTGTGGCACTTGGATGCATACAAGGCGGATTCGACTGGTTTGACCTTGGCGAACTCATCATTGTGCATTGTCTCGGCGTCGCAGAGAAGTCCGCCGCTTGTTGCAGCAAACTTGGCATCTGTTAGCTCAGCAACCCGTAGCATCGTGCATCGAGGTAGTCTTTATGTTAGAATGTTCGCTAGACTGGCAGATAAAAAGATGGGCTTTCAGCGTAGCTGAGCTCTCTATGGATAAGCCCGTCAGATCTTGGTACTAAGGAATGCTTGTCTGACTCAGGATCTCATCATGGACTTCAATGGAGGTTGTTTTTGGTAGGTGTTAGGTATTGTGGGATTGCTCCGTCCTGGCCAATCGCAGCGGACAAAATGGCAGCAAAGGACCTACCATTCTTTGTCGGCTCACCCTAAGCAGGAGCGACCCAGGAAATGCTCAGATCAAAGCAGCGACTACTCAGCATCGTGGGCGAGAAAGGAAACAAAGAGTGTCAGGATTCGAGTGGCATATAGCTTGATTCGAAATGCAGTGTACCCGAAGTTTTGATACGCCACAAAACACCGAATTACTGCCATAGCAGTCATAGATACTATAAGTACCTACACGACACCGGCGGTAGCCGATCTCCAGATTTTGGATCATGCAGCGTTCAAGGTGAATGAAGTTGAGATGGGCACATCCAGTTGTAATCACTTGATATCGGCAAAGCCCTTGTTATGTCGGAAATCTTCAATGCTTATGGGGGCATCGACTGGAATCCTGACTCCTTATCACGACGGTCGAACCTGAATTTGGCTATGGTCATTCCATTATCACCCTCGTGAACCTACAATCGCCAGAATATCCGTTACTAGCATGTCACTCAGTCTCCCCTCCACAACCCAGTGACACCGAAGTCGGAGCTCACGCACGAATTTGAAGATGGCAAAGGCCCCGGAAATGATCTATCAAACTGCCGATTCTGGCGGTAGCGCAAATGTGGTCAGCACGACTTCCCCAGTTCTGTGTTGCTCAATCATCAGGCTCTCCCCACGCCTACATACGTCAGACCGCTGAATGTAGAGCGGCAGCATGGGGGATCGCGCTTCAGATGCTCCGTTATGGTAGTCGGAGCTTGTTTGTCACAAGTTGCAGAAGACTGGCTCTTCTGATTTACTATCGGACTATTGACCATGCAGGCTTATCAGTGATCCATCTGCCAACATCCCAGTGCGGGAAGTGGGAAGTGGGGGCCGCTCTACGGAGGACCCTGGTCTCTTCGCACGGAAGTTTGTCGTCTTCAACGGTTTGTTGGTAACTTTGTGTTCGCTCAGACTTCCTTGATGAATGCAAAGCTAAGCTTATCGATAGACAGGGCTTCACTCCAACCATCTGTTTAGTCGATCTGCACCTCATCGCGACTGGAGCGTTCATCCTCAATTCGGGAAAAGTATCCTGCCTTGCCTGCCGGAGGTGATCCCGACACTGCCACGAGAGATAAGCTCGCAACACCAGTGGAATATGACTGCTGAAGGCTCCTCTCGACGATTTTCTATCCTTCCCTACACAAGTGTTGAAGAACGACTTTTCGAGGCCGCCCAAAGCCTTGATAAGGCAATGCGATCCAACACCCGGTAACAAGTCTTGAGTGTAAATTCGGCGAGGTCGAAATTTGAGATTCTTAACTCCCCCGCACGATACTCACAGACGTCGGGTCAGCCCCACCTCGAATGCATCCCTGAACCTCCCTTAGAGCTAGGAACCCCTTGCCCTTGACTCCGCATAACTGGACTTCGAGATAAGAAACCTCCATTCAATAACACTACCGCCATGATGGCAACTTCGATTATCGATATGATATCCAGTCCACAATTATTGTCCTATCAGTACAATCTCGGATTCGACTGACAAACTTGGACTGGCGTTATCGAGAGCTCTACCCCAGCTCCATAGCTACGGGCCCGACGCCGTTGGCCCGAGTCAACCGAACACACCGACCTACATCGATCCGCCATCCGAACGTTGAAGCAATCGCCAAGACACCAAAGACGGGAGAAAGCAAATAATATCACGCCTTTGTGTTACATACAGCCCCACGGGATGAACGGCATACAGTCTTATCCGTAGGCCGCGGCCCGCGATATCATCGGGCCCTTGCCCTAGCTCGTTCGCAAACCGTCACGACATGGGCGCCACGTTCTGCAGCTCTCGATTGATTATCTCTCGGCGCTCGCTTATGCAGGTCAATCACGGCGTGATAGGTCACTTTCAATACCGCCCAGAAGCCATCGCGGCAACGATAGGTACGCAGCAGCTACCCTGTCTCGAGAAGGCGAACCCCTCTAGAGCCTTCCAATCCTCTGGGACCGAGCTGTTCGAACGAGGTTGCCTCGCTCCTAACTTCCTTTCGCATATTTAGTGGCGCATTCACATACCGAGACCGGTTTAGCTTGCGTGCTGCAGATTATCACAATGTTGATGTCAGTTAATGTTCTAATGGACAACTTGGAGATTGCTCATCAATACAACGCTATCACCGGTGTCGGGGTAATACTAGGTTGAGGATGGCTAAGTCAAGTTACTCAGGTGCAACATCACCAAAAACCTAAGGTTCCACAAGATCTTGAGCTATCTTTCAGCTTTCCATAAAACCTGCTGAGATCCGCCATTGTCGTTACAATGGATCTGCGAAAGATCTCTACGCCTTCCTGAGTCCCAAAGAGTCCCTCAAGATCTAGGATAACATGGGCTTTGCTTCAGTAACTCGAGCCTTTGGCCTGGGAGCACTGCTTCTCCTTGGCTCAGATTTGATCCCTCAAGTTGATGGGCTGCCCAAAACATCATGGGCTCAACAGAGGGCTAAAGGGCATGGCAGGAAAGCCCTGAGCCAGTCTATGAACAAACGTCAGTTCAGCAATGGCAGCGAGCCAGCTGACTGCGTGGTTCACGATCCGATGGACATTGACGCCCCGAAAGACAACATTTGGAGTGGTCTGACAGGCCCTGAAGCTGCTGGTGTAACCGAATGGCTCTTCGCACAGGAAGAGTTGAACCTCACCCTGAGTGACAATGCTACCTCCTGGGATAACACAATGTAAGTTGATTTATAACTAACTCACTTCAAATCGGTCTCCATTCTGACGAAAACACATAGTGTCTTGGTCGAGCTCATGCAGCCAAATAAGTCGGACGCTCTGGCATACATCGACGGCAGCGGCCCTGCTCCAGCCCGATATGCCCACGTCTTACTTGACTTCCGCGCCACTGAGGAGCCTGAGTATCAAGACATTCTAGTCGGCCCATTGCCAGTCACCAATGGCACCACCAAGTGGGAGCGACTGGACTACCCTTACACGCGTAAGACTAGCGGTCGCGTGCGAAACTTGGATGCCGACGACGACGCTATGCAAGAATGGCTCTACGATGTCAGCAAGAGCATCGCCGACATCACCAAAGACCTCTGGAACGCCACTGCTCTTGGACTCGAGAACGACACCTTGGAGATCTGGGGTATTGATCCCTACTACCAGGATGACGGCCGCATCCAGCGCTGGGACACTTTCTGGAGTATTCCCGACTCCATCTTCGACGTCGGCTCGATGATGCCTATGGGGCTGTTCTTCATGTCTGACGTTACCGGCCGCGACCCTTCCAAGTGGATTCTGGAGGGGTGGTACTACAACGGCGTCTTCTACGAGACCACAGAGGAGTTCCGCACTGCGTACTGGGGCGGCAACATTGAGAAGCTCGGCGGCAACTTTGCTGGAGACTGGTCGGCTACAGATCAACAAGGCCAGGTTCTTCCT